GAAATCCCACTGCTGCCCCTCCCTGGCTTAGGCATTGCTTCCAAGGCCCTCAACCTCTGCAAAGGGAGGCAGAGTTTAGACTGGGCAGATGTCCCCTCACTTGCCTTCCAAAGCAGCAGGTCTGTCCGTTCTTAGCACCCGAGTGAGTGATCCTTCCTGGGCCTCCAGGAGACAGAAGCAGAGTAACCAAAACTTAGCTGGCCCCTAGTTGCATTTCAGGAAGGGGCTGATCCAAGCAGTGGTGGGTTGCAGGCAGTACGCCCCGGTATGGGCATACCGGATCCTGCCCGGAGCTCTGGATACCATTCCGGTACGGTGCTCTGGAGGGCCCAGCTGCCTGCCTGTGCTCCTTACCTGTGCTTTATGCTTTTGGCGCTTCTGCACACACGCATGGCACATACGGTGCCTGCACGATGCTCCTTGGAGCAGCTTGAGTGTCGCGGAGGCTTGCAGAAGTATCATTTGACGCTAGAACGCATGCACGCACCACACGCGTGCATGTGAGTAACTCTGTGGCTGTTCCAACCATACCAGTTGGAACGGAATCCGGAACCCACCACTGGATTCAAGGGTGATGGGTGGAGTGAGAGGCAACATATGGACTCTCAGATTGCAACTTGTGGTTTCAAAAGTTTGGAATCCCCTGCCGGAAGGCTCCCAGAGATTTTATTGGTGGGATTCCTCAACCTTCTCCTTTTTTAGAAAAGCAAGAAAGAGGAAAAGGCAAAAAGGAGGAGAACTTACAACTCTCTACATAGAGATTTCCTATCCTGACTTTCGTTGAGGAAATTGTGACACAGTCATGCTTCCATCTGTCTGCTGGGACATAAGTCAGGTGTGGAATCAGGGAAGATTGTGGAGATGGAGGGAGGGGCAAGCTGCAGGAGGGAGGCTGCCCTGGATGCTGAGTCCCACCAGGGTTTCTGCAGGCGTCTTTCACCAACAGGCTTCTCTTCTCTCTCTACATCTTCGGGAGGAGGAGGAGGAGGCGCCTTGTGAAAACATTCTTGGCTGAGCTCTGCGTTCCTCCTTCCAGGATCCGCCTTAGAAGAGACTGTAACACCACCTTCCAGCCTCTTTATTAAGGAGGGGACCAGAAATAACGTCATGGCCATTTTATGCACTTTCTGTGAAGTTCTGAGTGGGGAAGAGAAGACACGTAGACTAACCTGCTTGGCCGAGCATCTACTGGCCTTGGTTCCCTCAGAAAGCCAAGCAAGACATTTGGAAGGGGAAGATTCAATAGGGATCTAAAAAATGCCCTGGAAGAAATACCAATCCCAACAATACAACAGAGTGAGGTCCATGTGATCAGCAGGGATAACAGAATAGCAGAGTTGGACGGGACCTTGGAGTTCTTCTAAGCCAACGTCCTGCTTAGGGATCAAGGGCCTCCAAAGGACATCACTGATTGCATAAATGACATGGCACAATGAGATCATGATGCCACGTGCCTCCCATTACCCCAGCTTCATGGATACCCAAGACTGGTATCAATTGGGACTCCAGGAGGCCACTGTGGGATATAGCAAGCCCAATAATTACTGTTAAGTAATTATCAGCTGCTGCAATGATTCCCCTTTCGGTCATGTTTAAAAGTATAATTTAGCAGCAAAGTTAGAGGGTGCAGAGAAGGAAGGACCACAAAGAAGAGGGTGGTCCATGACAGAGCGATAGAGTCAATGACGGAAGGATAAAATCCAGGCTGCATCCAAAAGGACAGGAATTGCTTTTACGCAAAGAAAGAAGGACAAGGGTGTTTTCCTAGACTTTTGGGTACATCCTGCTTCCAAGATGCCTGAGATGGGTATGGAAAGAACTTGTTTCTTTGGGTGACGACTGCTGACTGGTGGTCCATATCCAGACCTCTGTGCCTCAGGTGACTCTTCAGCCGTGACTGTAAGTTATACAAGATGGTATTTTGCAGAGAAGATGCCATTCAAAGGCCTCCTTGTTGATGTTCAATCATTGAGTCTTGACTTGGGACTTTGTCAAAACTATCTAGCAGGACCCTGAGGGCTTGGGAGCTCTTGCCTGGCCCTAGGCAGACTGTCTGGTCACCTTGTTCTTCCCAGCCTTTTTCTTGACTGCCTCTGAATCCACCAAGCATCTTCGCCATTAATTCTCACCTTTGCATTGTTGTGAGCCTCAACCATCATCATGCAACACTCAACCAAGAGGAGATCTTTTCTGAAAGGTCCATGCTGAGAGAACCATTTTTATCCTCCCTCCGCCCAGGATCAGTATTTTTGTTGTTATGTTATTTATTACTGTAACTTTTTAGATTTTTATCAGTTTTTATATTGGCTATTGTGTGACATCCAATCCCTGCTTGGGGGGTGGAGATGAATGACTATGTAAATTTGTTTAATAAATAAATACATTGAATGGATCAATAAAATTCTCTGTCCAAAATATCCCAGCTTTAACTTCCAATGGACAACTACAGCTTGGCTTTGCACCATCTGGTACTGAATCTGCATTCTTCTAGTTGTCCAAGATAATCTGAATGATTTTTCAAGCATAGTTCAAAGCCATCCATTTAATATTGAATAAAAGGCATACTTGGTAGATGATATTTAAGTACTTAACTGTTTATTGGAACAGATTGAATTAAAACTCCAAAGAAGTTAATTCAGATACGAATCCAAGAACTCTGAACCTTTTCTCAAAACAAAAGAGTAGAATGCATGGTCAAACAGAAGGAATAGAAGATACCGGTGCAATTGGTTGGAATTCAAAGGTTTCTTGGTGGACAGACAGTTTGATGCTGGACTGACGTTTTGAAATGAACCTGCATTACCACAGAGAAAAGTGGAGAAAAATGTACTGAAGGGTCCATTTTTCACCAGAAGCTTGCCAGTTCCTGAGTTGGGTGACTGAGTTGCTGCTCAAAGGACAGTCACAAAAAGGTTGAAGGCATTTCTAAAGGCCCCCCATCCTGCTCACACATGGGCCTCTCTCCATAAAGCAGAGGCACTCGATCTGGGAGGTGGTGAGAAGGAATGGATCCCCTCCATGAAGCAGGGTTGATCCTTGAGTTTCCTTGATCACAGAGAAGACAGGGACAGGACTTTACCCAGTAACTCCATCAGCAGAATCGCCATGACTTTCTCAACTCTGCTCTTGAACTGAATACTGACAAAACCAAGGCAAAACTGTAGATAACAAGGAACCCCTGTTGGAGGTGACTTTTGTGCGATGCAGGGACAACCCACGGGCAAAGGCATGGATGAAGATAATACATTTTCATCCCATCAGAGCCCCGTTCATTCATTTTCTTTGTCCCAGGGAGGAGGGGATTCATTTATCATTTCAGTCTTCTAAATTTTGAGGACTCTGGTCTACAGAAACAGCCATTCCGTGTATAAGGGCAGCCTTTCAGTAGGAAGAGGTGAATAAGTTTGAAAACAGGAAGCCGTGTAGACCATCTGCCTCCCATCCTGAAAGGGCACCTTTGTTCTTCTCCTAGCAGAGATGGTGTGATCCTTTTCCCTACTGAAAAGTTGAACCAGAGTTTCAGAAGAAGGACAAACCCATCTTGATGCTGATGAGATCAGAAGTCAAGAATCTTCCCCCACTTGGGGGAAAAAGGACACTTTTCGACTCTCTTTTTCCTCCTCCTGTCCTGTTTTTAGTAGCCCAGTTTTGCCCTGAGTCACCACAGACCTGGGTGTCTCCAGAGTTGGCTTTGCAGCTGTGAATTAAAACTATGTGGCTTTTCCTTCTGAACATTGTCAAGCTATATTCCTTTTAGAGGGGTTGAAACTGCCTTCAGTACTTAGACCTGATCTCTGCAAGCTGAGGTCCTCTGCTGACCAGCAGAAGGTTGCAATCTGATCATCTGCTGGAGAATTTATTTAATAAATGTGTTGTCATTTCTCCTTCCACGGGATCTTGGGCTACATGTAGTTTGAATGGAGAAATTGACTGAGGATACTTGCCACTGTTCTGTTAGAGGTCTCCAACAAGGCTCCCATTATAATCTGAAATAAGGGTCTTTCGTGTGACTCACCAATTCATCCATCCACTCATCCATACATTCATTTTTTTAAAATCCAAGCCAAATGTCTGAAGCCACCTCGCTCCAAGCTGAGCACAGCCCAGTTCTGCTGAAAGGGCGTCTCTCTTTTCAACTCCTGCCGCTTCTCACCATCCCAGGACAAGCGAAGTCCAGTCACAGAACGAGCTTCCTCAGCCAGAGAGAGAGGGCCGGGAGCCGGAGGGGCTGGTCACCAAAGTCCAACAACTCATTTTACTCTAAGAGCAAAAGTGGGATCCGACCTTAGGTGAAAGCCAGACAAGCTGCTAGTCCCCAACACAACTTTTTGTCCCGTGTTGGTCACCTCGAGAGAGGGTCTTTTCTCAAGTTCAGTCTACCCAGAGCTGCACGGGGGCTGTCCGGCTGCTCTCCAGACAGAGCGCTTAACCAAATGGGCCGATGGCCTCCCTGAAGGCAGAAGCCACCAAAGCGCCGTCGGGCAGAAGAGGAGAAGAGCGTCTCTCTCGGAAACCCGGAGGAAAGAAAGAGAGAAGAGAAGAGAAAGAGGGAGGGAGGGAGGAAGCGAAGAGAAAGATCTGGAGCCCCGGCGGGAGCCGGAGTCCGCGGACTCACCATTTGTAGCCCCTTCCCCGCTTGAGCTTGAGCGTGAGCGCCGTTTCCAGGCACAACAGGAGGTTGAGCAGCGCCAGCAGCCAGTACTTGCGCTCCTTCTTCACCTCCGTAACCCGCCAGACGCCCAGCAGCGCGTGCAGGGCGAAGAGGACCCGGGTGCCCAGCGCGTTCAGCAGCACCATCGCCTCCATCCTCTCGACCCGCCGAGGGTCCCGCAGCACATCCCGGCCTCCTCTTCCCTCCCTCTCCCGCCCTCCCTCTCCCGGACTTCCTGAAAGGGGACGGGGTGGGGGGCGGGGGCGAGGAGGACCAGCTGAGCCAGACGGCCGGAGGCGGGGAAGGGGGTTCCCGCTGCCCCTCCAGCGCGCCAGGGCTACAAGGAGCGGCCAGGTTCCCACCCTGTCTGGCGGGCGGTGGCTTTGCTGGGGAGTGGAGTCGGGGGGCCGGTAGGGTGACTCCTGTCCAATGCACCGTCCAGCCCAGCCAGGACTCCCTTGTGGGCTTGCGAGGGCTTCGCATCTCCTTAAATGCGCGTACACACACACACACACACACATCTTTGGCTTGTGCCTAAACCCGAGGTGAATAGGGGTGCAAGGCCCCTGCCCCCTTCTGCAGATGTGCAGGTCTTGATAGCCTCCCCATATCTCATTAAATGAAGGTGGGGGAGGGGACCGCAATGGCAGCAGAAGTTTGGGAAAATGCTGCTGAGCTCCGACTGCCAGGGCTGCAACTCCCCCTTGAAGATTTTCTGAGGATTAAAATTTAATATCCCCCAAACTTTTTTTTTCAAGTCTTCCACTTTCTCTACTATTAGTAGCTGAGTTAATAACACATGTTCCTGGAGGATTACAGTCAATGATCAAGAAAATTAGATGTTGTTTGAATTTAATTTAGTTCTATAAAGCTGCTACAATAATTTACAACTTTGATATTTAATATTTAATAAGCTGGTTCAACAAAGAGCCCTCTCAGTAATTGTCTTGAAATATTAAATTCCCCCCCCCCCAGAAGTCATTTATGTTTTCTAGCTGAAAAACCTGTTTGCCAACTCATTTGGCTTGATAAGAACTGTCTGATGATGACTACAGGTTGGTTTTCTTCTACCCAATAGGTTGATGAGACGCTTCAGGAGAACTCTCAGCTAAGATCTCTGGCAAGATCCTGCTAGTCTCTTGTTTTTATTGGCTCCTCTTCAGAGGCTTCTGATTCTTCATCCCCCAATGAACATGATTTCAGCAGAATTGTCTATTAACTGTCACTTATTTGCATTCTTGCAAGATTTGGCTTGTGTCATCAGTGATGGTATCTGGTCCTCTGATCTTCTGTCAGCTTCTTTTTCAAGGCTCCTCTATTCCTTCAAGCAATAGAAAAAGCAAATACCACAGACGTATACAGCTTCGCAGGGCTTTACAGTGGTTTACAGAGTCAGTCTCTTGCCCCCAACAATCTGAGTCCTCATTTTACAGACCTTGGAAAGATGGAAGGCTGAGTCAACCTTGAGCCAGTCAGGATCGAACTGCTGAACTGCTGGCAGTCAGCAGTCAGCAGAATTAGCCTGCAGTACTGCATTCTAACCACTGTGTCTCTTACCAAGGACTCTTGTCTTTGCATTGTGTGCCCAAATTAGCTAAGCTTTTGCCTTCGTTGTTTTGCCTTCTTCCATTTGAAAGCCTGGTTTTATTTCTATTCATATTGGATCATTTGTTCATTTGATCCAAGATTTTTCCACAATGTTCTCCAGCATCACAATTCAGAGGCAATCTGCACACTGTTCTGGGAAAGCTACAAGACATGTGTGCGATAAAATCCTTGTCTGAAAAGGCCCAGAATTCAGGAGGAAAAAAGAGAGCACGTCCATAGTTCTTGCTGATGAGTAGCCCCATCTGGAGGCACACCTGCCTCCTGGTCTGTCTCAGAGCTGTGTGTTTTCTCTGGGGACTTATGCATTTGATGCTGGTCTCCCCTCTGGGCCTTGTATTTTTGCAGAAATAGCTCTGGCCAGAGAGACAGGTGATGCAACTTTAGCCACAAAATCTTATGAAACTCCCAGCATGTTGGAGAAGAAAAGTATCCCTTGGGAAAATAAGTGTAAAAGGACTTTTTTTTTTGGCAAAGGGTTAGCCAGGTGTCATTTCAAGATTATATTCTTAATTTCTCTCTCTCCCTCCCTCCCTCCCTCCCCCCCTCTCTCTCCACCCCCACTCCCCATTGAACTATTCTAAACAGAAGCTGCTTCTAACAACAATCAGAGTGGGGTTGGCTGTTTCTTTTTTATTTTTCTATTTTAGGGCAGGGCATGTTATTCTAATAATAACTGGCAATTTTTTCTCTCTCTAAGAAAAAACTCTTACTTGCAGCCTGCTTGCAGTGAATTTCCATTCACCCTGAATGCAGCAAGGGTGGGGGAGATTTTTTAGGACATTCCCTGTGTGCTCCAGAATGTGGCCATCCGGATGTCCATCCCCCCTGCCTCCCCCCACCCCCAAGCACAAAGCCACCACAGCCCAAGGTTAGAAGGCAAAGCTGAGCAATGTGCAAATGTGACATTGGCTGTAACACTTCCCCTCCTGAAAAAAATAACCCAATAAAAGTAAAGGAAACCGATTACTTTATATATATTTATTCTGTTTTAAAAATCTTTCCTCCCGGGCTATTGTTTTCTTGGTATCAGCAAAAATGCGGCTTCATGGTGGCCTCCCACTCTCCTGTAGACAATCCCAACCTCCATCCACACCACAGAGCCATGGAATGCAGGCTGCCAGACAGAAGGATGTCAATTACAGCCAGTCCAGGTTCTCTGAAACATACTCCTGGCAGGTTAGGAGGGAGACGGGGGACCCCTTACAGGGTAGGGCTGAGGAGTATGTTCAGTTCTTGGCGGACAAAGTTGCTCGGTTTCGGTCGGACCTGGACTCCACCCCCGCAGATCCAGCTGGGACACAGGGGAATGACTTGGCAGACCATCTCTGGGTTGAATTTCAGGATGTTGCCTCCGGGGATGTGGACAAGGCTATGCGAGCTGTGAGTGCCTCCACCTGTATACTG